AACCAGTGACTTAAATAATATGGTTTCTGTATGCTTATTTTGGGACTGAACACTAGGGAACAGATGAATAGCCTCCTGCCAACAGCACAGTCCCAAAGTCTAGAGATCACCACAGTCTTCCAAAGGGCAAAGATACTTTATATATCGAAAACATTAAAGTCCTCTATACCTTGATTTCTGTGACAAATGTTATTTAAAGTCAAATGTCAATCAAATGTCTGAAAACTAACAGAGTTAGATATCCAAAAACCTAACAGATATCTCAGAAAATGTTTGTATTGCAGGCTAGATCTTTCTTCTGCCTTACCTTATTTATCTGTTTATTTGTTGCAGGAGAAGTAGAAAACAATTACCTTTAATGTCATTCAAAGAAGAAATGATGTTTTAAGAGAACCGTCAACACTCCAATAAAATATTTAGCTTGCAATTATTCTTTGTTGTTTTCTTGGTCTGAGCATGTATGTGTGAAATCTGGGGACTGTGGCCAAACCTAAGTAAATTATAGACCTCTTCATTTAGTTTCATCATAAAAATTCCTATTTTCTCTATTTATGAATCAGTTGACTATCATTTAAGAGACCCCTTTTTTCCTCTTATCAGGAGTACTGCTCAAACGTTGCTGTATTTCACAGATATTTCTGATTTTAGCAGGAAGCTTAACATAAGATATGATTTGTAATAGTAAATATATAGAGTGCAGAAAGAGGGAGAACATGAACAAGGAAGTCAAGACTATGATGGGTATGCCAACCCACTGAGATGATGGGGTTGATCTAATGGGAGCTAACCAAAGTCAGCTGGCCTGGGACTGAAGGAGCATGTGATCAAACTGGAGTCTCTGAACGTGTCAGACAAGGAGGGCTGACTGAGAAGCCAAGGACGTTTGCACTGGGTTTTGATCCGACTGCATGTACTGGCTTTGTGGGAGCCTAATTTGTTCGGATGCTCATCTTCATAGACCTGGATGGAGGGTGGAGGACCTTGGCCTTCCCACAGGGCAGGGAACCCTGACTGCTTTTTGGACTGGAGAAAGAGGGGGTGGTGTGGAGGGAGAGGTAAAATGTAGGAGGGAAGGAGGTGGTAATTTTTAATTAAAATTATTTAAAAAAGCCAACAAAAAAGAAAAAAAAAGAAGGGTCTTCTTGGCTCACAGTCTGGGGTACAGTCCATGATGGTGGGAAAGACATGGCAACAGGAGGCTGAGGCAGCTGGTCACGTGGTATCCACAGTCAGGAGGCAGAGAGATGGACACTGGTGCTCAGCTCACTTTTTCCTTGTCATGCAGCCCAGGGCCCTAGCCATGGGCTGCTGCTGCCCACACAGTCAGGGTAGCTCTTCCCTCCTCTGTCAGGCTTCTCTNTTTCATGTCAATGATGTATCATCTAAGTTAACATCCATGTGGCCCTTTGTGCTTTACATAATCCATATACTATTCAAATTACTACTAAACCCATATAAAAACTAGGCAATTATGAAAGACTGATATTGCTTGGGACATGAATGACAGCTTATTATATTTGCAGTTTTGTACCTCTCACAACAGAAAAAAATAGGATCATAGAGAAAAACAAAATAGTATGATTAGAAGACCCATTTAAATACAATATTTGCTAAGCATTTTGTTCTTTTTTGCTTTTTTGAGATGAAGTTTCCTCATGTACCTGGCTTAAAGGTCCCAGAACTCATTCATAAACATGGGTGCTCAAGAACTCACAGAGATTCAATTACCTCAAAACAAAAGTGCTGGGATTAATATGCATTACACCAAACCAGATTACCAATTTTCAAAAAAAAAATGAAACTATGCTCATGAGTAATAGTTAAGCTAGCTATCTTTGTGATTACCCGGTCCTATAATTACTTGGAATCTCAACTGCTACTTTTCTTTCTATAACACAGAGGAACATGTAGAACAGTGTATGAAATCTTCTAGGTCTATGATAACATAAATTCTCTAAGTTGAACCACATCTGGGTAATTCTGGACAGCCTTTCTATGCCCAAACAGGCTGTCACTCTTGTTTGTCTCTTACTATGCATCCCTGCTTGGTGTCCTCTCTGTAGAACTGAAAGCAAAAGTCAGCTTTGTATTATACACATTATAACATATGGGTTTAACACCATAAAAAGACGTTGAATTGAAACATAGAAAATATCTATCTTTATTATCAATGACAGGAAGAATTGGGACAAAAATATACATCAGTGGATAGAAGCAAATTCCCTCTCAATTACAACAAACATGATCAGGGTCATGGTTATATCTCCTGGAGCTTAAACAATCACAGAACTTTATTTCTAATATCTGGATGTTGCCTGAGTTACATCAACATTTTGTCCAATATATATATTGTATTATTGAGAACTGAGTCATTGACAACCTATTCGCCATGCATCCTGCTAGGCTAATGTCCCAAACAAAAGTCAGGGATGCAATGTATCCTGCTGTGTCAGGTCAGGTCACCAGTGAGGACCTGAAAAGTGTCTTTGTTCTACCTTCCTTATAAAGACTCTGGCCTTCCTTCTCCCACCACAGACTTGGAAGCAACTCCAGAGGCTCCTCCAAGATGCTGGTGGTCCTGCTCACAGCAGCCTTGTTGGCCCTGAGCTCAGTTCAGAGAGCAAATGCAGGTATGAAGTAAGGTAGACATTGGTTCTGTGAAATGGGAGTTGGGCAAAACACTGAAATACAAGGCTGGGAGAAATGTGAAAAGATAAATAAAAAACTGAAGCAAAGGATTAGCAAAACATAATGGAATGTTTATATTTTCATTTTGCACTGGATATTAAATGTTACTTATAGTAACATTTAAGAAACTATTTTATAACAAAATAACATGAATGCATTTGTGAAAAGACCTTTTTGGTGGGGCATGATGCATAGGATCATGATACAATTGATAGAAAGAAACTCAGTTCTCAAGGAGTTATGAGAAGCCAATACTAAATAATGGTAACCTGGCTGTACAGAGGAGAGTGAAAGCTGAAAGAAGTAAAGGTATGTCACGGATGCTTTTGAGAGAATGAATAAAGTAATAACTTGAAACTGTATACATTCAGGTAGAAATATTAGTGAATAATTTCTTGAATTATGTTTGAGCATTGTGTGCATGCAGAATTGTCTGTGTATATGTGTACTTGTATGTGTGAAAGAGATAAGAAAGGAGACAAACACACAGATACGAGAGAGAGAGAGAGACAGAGAGAGAGACAGAGAGAGACAGAGAGAGAGAGAGACAGAGAGAGAGAGACAGAGAGAGAGAGAGAGAGGGGCAGGGAGAGAGAGACAGAGAGAAAGAGAGACTGAATATTTTTTCACATTCCAGTCAGAGAACAGAATATTGTCAACAAGATTTGTATTTCTACCATGTGTTTCCAGGAACTGAATACAAGTCATCAGACAAGAACTTTTACCCACTGAGATATCTTTGTGGTATTCATTCCCTATTTTAATGACCCACATAAAATATTCATTGTTTCTCACAAAGTATTTAGAACAATATTCATTTTTCTTCCTGTATGAAATACCTATATCATATAACAAAAGAATGCCATGATGAAAAACATAAATAATATAAACCTGTCAGAATGAAATTCCCATATTAAAATGAAGACTAACAGTAATGGTTGTCAGAGATACTAAGAAACAAAATAGTGGTTGTTCCTGATCAAAGAAACCATTCTGTCAGCAGTATCAGCAGTATGGTCCAAGAATAAATTACTTCTTAGTGGAAATGAATATGTTATTGAAAGCCATTTGTATTTCCAGCTGAGAAAAATCTTGTAACTAACTTTTCACTACACTTGTGCTTATTTTCTAGAGATCATCAGTGAAGACTCTTCTGCTCAGCTCTTAGGTAGGGACAGATTCATCCTATATTAACCAATTAAGCATGATTCACTTTTGTAATTATCCAGTTTTATAAAATCTCATAACTTTTTATTTTCTGAAGTTAGCATGTGACAGCTTACCCTGAGATATATAGGAAAGCTCCCTGGCATTTTCTCTAGGACCTAGAAGATGACAATACATTGCAAGAGTAGGAAGCCAGGCTTTTAGACCAGGAAATTTGTGTCTCTTCCACAAATGGAAGCAATGGCTTGCATATGATGAGCATATTGATTGTCCTCATTTAAAATCTTTTGTGACTCTATGGGTTGGTCAAAGGTTTTTTTCTCATTGATCCCTCTCATGATTATAGAATTCTACACTAGATAGATATGTAATTTCACAGATCTCAGACTCTCTAATCTTTTTAAATTTTATTTTTCTCACTCAGCTCTATATCCACAAAAGCACTGCAGGAAAACTGAATGGACCTTTTTTTTAGTCTCTTTCCTATATTTCTTTTTGGTCTGCACTTGATTATATAACACAAAACAACATGGTACATTTAAGAATAGAGCATCTCTGTCACATTAGGCTATATTGCCTAATTCTAACTAATATCATTAAAAAAATCCTTTCAGTTTTGTCACTTCTGTCTGAGAATTGTAAGAAAAATAAAATCACCTTAAATGATCAAATTTAAGAAGAAATATTTGTCTCAAGAGTTGAGCCATAAGAAAGCTATTATGATAAATATTTAAAAATTACATTTCAAAAAGAATCAGGCTCATAAATTTAGGAAGGGTATTCTGACAGAAAGAGAAAAGTAAGCTTCTTCAACATGGATCTATGTCCCTGCAGAGGAAGAGCAAAAAAGCCTGGGCAAAGGTCAACAGCATCAGAAAGATGAGGAAGGGGAAGAAGCTGGAGATGAGGAGGATGGCGATGGAGAAGAAGAACCACCAGAGAAACCACCACATCATCCTCGCCCCCCTAAACCTGGAAAACCACATGGCCCACCCCAGGAGGGAGATGAGGAGAAACCTCGTCCTCCTAAACCTGAAAAACCAGAAGGCCCACCCCCGGAGGGAGATGAGGAGAAACCTCGCCCTCCTAAACCAGAAAAACCAGAAGGCCCACCTGAGGAGGGTGGTGAAGAAGAGGCAAGTAACCTCTAGAAATTTTCTGCATAAATAAAAGTTCATCAGCACGACAAAAGTAATAAGACACTTTATCATTCTAACAAAGATGTGGGATTCCCTCTGCTTGCTGTGAATACCATTGGTTTATAGGAAGCTTCTTTGGGTCTATAGATAGGGCAGAGTAGAGCTAGGCAGGGAAACTAAACTGAATGATGGGAGAAAAAAGGCAGAGTCAGTGAGAAGCCATGGAATTGCCAGAGGAGAAAGGCACAAGCCCCAGCTAGAACATTGATGGCAGGTCACAAGCTCGGTGGTGATGAGCAACTTTACGTAGATGGGTTAGTTTAGGATATAAGAGGTATCTAGCAATGCTCTTAAATGGTTGACCAACCAGTGATTTAAATAATATGGTTTCTGTATGCTTATTTTGGGACTGAACACTAGGGAACAGATGAATAGCCTCCTGCCAACAGCACAGTCCCAAAGTCTAGAGATCACCACAGTCTTCCAAAGGGCAAAGATACTTTATATATCCAAAACCTTAAAGTCCTTTATACCTTGATTTCTATGAAAAATGTTATTTAAAGTCAAATGTCAATCAAATGTCTGAAAACTAACAGAGTTAGATATCCAAAAAAGTAACAGATATCTCAGAAAATGTTTGTATTGCAGGCTAGATCTTTCTTTCTTCTCCCTTACCTTATTTATCTGTTTATTTGTTGCAGGAGAAGTAGAAAACAATTACCTTTAATATCATTCAAAGAAGAAATAATGTTTTAAGAGAACCTTCAACACTCCAATAAAATATTTAGCTTGCAATTATTCTTTGTTGTTTTCTTGGTCTGAGCATGTTTGCGTGATTTCTGGGGACTGTGGCCAACCTAAGGAAATTATAGACATCTTCATTTAGTTTCATTATAAAAATTCCTACTTTCCCCATTTATGAATCAGTTGACTATCATTTGAGAGACCTCTTTTTTCCTATTATCAGGAGTACTGCTCACAACTTTGCTGTATTCCCAGGTGTTTCTGATTTTAGCAGGAGGCGTAACATAAGATATGATTTGTAAAAGTAAAATATATAGAGCAGAAGGAGGGAGAACATGAACAAGGAAATCAAGACTATAATGGGTGCACCCACCCACTGAGATGATGGGGTTGATCTAATGGGAGCTCACCAAAACCAGCCGGCCTGGGCAATGGGAGGATGGGAGGAGGTGGTAATTTTTAAATATATATATAGATAGATAGATAGAGAGAGAGAGAGAGAGAGAGAGAGAGAGAGAGAGAGAGAGAGAGAGAGAGAGAGAGAAACTACATAAACATGCTCTTAGTATATTTTGCATGTTTTTTTCTGTTAGGAAGTAGCTCTTTGTGTAGCTGGCATTCTTTTAGACATTCAAATATCAACCAGCTCACATTCTTCCTCAACTTGGACAGTCCTACATATGTAATGATTTCTCGAGCCCATATGTTCATTGTTTTCATCTCCCTAGAATTTTTTTAAATATGTACCTGGTTCTAATCGCCATATGAAATTTTTAAATATTTTATGTATACCTTAGAGCAATCTTTCCATCTTAATTATTTAGGGTTTGTAAATGCTCATTCACTGATTTTTAAAATTTGTTCAATTTTAACTAGAATGGTAAATAAAAAATGTTTGGATATTCAAACTATTGAGGAATTCTTAAACCAAGCACATAGTTGAGCTTTAATTTTTAGACTTTTACATTGCTGTTTTTAAATGCTCTATTCATTTTCTTTGCATTTTACTTAGAACATTTTCTTCTTTTCCTCCTTTCACATAATTCCTTATGAAAACTAGAGTGATCTTCATGAAAGTAGCACAGTAGGAGATTTATAGAAATGACAATTTGGTATTATTCTGAAATTTGACACTTAAACTTCTATTGGCATAATTCATTGGATGGCCATGAATCCAATTTGGCAACAGCAGGATAGACGAAATGACAGGATAGGATAAGATTCAAATGCATATTCATAGATACAGGCTAAACATGTTCATGTACAATATTGACAAAGCTGCATGTCATATTGAAAGCCATGAATTTTCATGACTGTCAGAATTCTAAATGATGCATCAAACATCCTTCTGTTCCAGAAAAGTCCTCTGTTTACACATTAGAAGGCATTTTAAGTCTAAACCAACATTATCACCAATCCTAATAGTTATAATATCTTCTTTTATAGAAGAGAATATAATCTCTTGGCAGATATTCCAAGAAACTCTGTAATCTATGAAACTAAGCTGGAAGGCATAGTTTTGACTTGGATGCATGAGAGAGGGAAAAAAATCATAAAAATTCCACTAATATGTGACAATTTGTGAATAAATAAATCATAATTTAATCAAGAGTCAAAATATTTTATTAGGCAAATAATTATCAGGCAAATTCTTACAATTAGTTTATCCTGAGGAAATAGCTAAAAAGTCTCACTACATTGAAGAAAATACATTTCTTATATTCTTTGTCTTTAATATCTTAGCATTTCTATATCAATATTCCTATTTATATCTGCCCATCTATGAAGCCTCCTGGAATATGCTTGAAGAAGTTTGCTCCATAATTTAACTAATACCTCATCCTTGACAACATGTAACCTAAAAATATAGCTTCAAAGCTGTCATACAACTCTGTAGTAGAGTAATTGTTGACGTGATCCAGTCCTAGACACATACTTCAGCACATAAATAAATACTTCATTTTACCTGCCATAAACGACATAAACTTTAAAGAAACTATGTATGTTTTCAGATTACAGTCCAATATGACTTTGTGTTTTTTAACAGTTCAAGTCAGTATCCACTGTTCTCTGCAGTCCATTTAAGAGTGAAAATCGGTCAGCATGTTCTTGTCAGTTTCTTGATATGTGATCAAGTTTATGCCAGAAAGCAACCTTAAGAGGTGCATGTTGCAACATATGGCCTTTTCATAATGCACAGTATGATCCAATAAGGTCAGCATTCATTAGGTCTAACATTTAACAAGAATTTTTTATTTTGTTTTGTGTAAATGGGTATCTCCTGCAAGAATGACTGTGTACCACATGCATTTAGTGCCCATGGAGGAGAGGAGAATATCTGGAACTAGAAATATAAATAGTAGGAGCTGGAGAGATGGCTCAGTGGTTAAGTGCATTGCCTGCTCTTCCAAGGTCCTGAGTTCAATTTCCATCAACCACATAGTGGCTCACAACCATCTGTAATGAGATCTGGTGCCCAATTCTGGCCTGCAGTCATACACACAGACACAATATTGTATATATAATAAATATTTAAAAAAGAAATATAAATAGTTGTTAGTTATTTTATCGATGCTCAGACCCAAAACCAGAGCCTTTGAAAGAAAAACAAGTGGTCTTAACTGCTGATCCATCTCTGTAGCCCCCATGAAATATTAACTTTACATACCAGCTCTTCTAAATAGAAAAGTTTATGCCCACACAAATACACATAAAAATTGTGTCATAACTAGGTCATATTGCTCAGTTTCTAAGACCCCATGATGCATTGTTGTCTTTAAAACTTCAAGGTGTTGATGAAAGACATGTTTTCCTTATCTACCGATTCAACCACTTTTTTTAAATTTTAGGAAAATAAATTATGCACCTAGGTTTTTAAGGTGATGTTCCTGAAGAAAATATCATCTGTCATCCCCAAACTTCATATAGAGAAACTGAGGTGTTCGCTGGCATGTAAGAATAGTAATTGAATCTATTAATGATATCGTAAGGCTGTGTTAGTATGATACACTTTGCATTTTCATAAACACACATTTGCCTGCCAAATCTGTCAAAAGAGTTATTAGGAAAATATGTAGATCAACTTCTTAAACATGAATGTCATTCAAAGTAACCAATTCTTTTATTCTTTTTTCTCAAAGGTTTAGTTTCCATTAATACATAATGTCTTTTTGATTAAGAGAATGATTAATGAATTGTTTACCATTAATTATCAAACAAAATCCATGAAGATATTAAAGAACAAAGGAGAACCCTGAAATGAGACACTAAGTCACCACTTATACCCTCCATTATTTGTTCCTNTCCCTTGTTCATGACCATTCTCAATGAAAACCCTGCCTCTTGCACAAAAACGCTCCTCTCTATTGGCTAGTGGACCACTGACAGGCTTCCTGTAATACCGCCTTTCATTTTAGTTAAGAAGAAAGGTTCTAACTCTAACACAGTAAAATTATATACACAGACAATTATTATCAAGAATTGTACAAAAAGAAAACAAAGTTATCAACTTTAACAAAACTGAAACTACATACATTAACAATTATCAAGTAAGATCTCCTTACATTTAGATTGGTCCTGTAAAGAGCAAATAATTCTCATGATGACAAAAACCTATGTTATTAAAACATTTCAAATGCTATGTTCTACAGTTATTTGTATAGTTTGAATTGCCTGCCTTTATGAAGTATATGTCTGTATACCTTTAAAACCTAGCTAATATGATTTCTTTATTATCCTAAATAACATTTAAGGACTGCAACTTCACATTGCAAAAATGAGCAAGCTTATATGTTGTATAGGCAATATATTATAAAAAAAAGAAGCATATGAACAGCATAAGGACAATAACGTCAAATTAGTAACAATATTAAAATATTAAAATGAAGTATAAATATATATAAAGTATAACAAAAATAACATTGAATTGGTATCAATATATAAAAATACCTTAAACATTAATAGAAACATATACGGTATTAAAAAGTATCCTTAAATTTCTATCAATATACAAAA